TTGGCAATTTTTCCAACTCCTGTAAACTGTAAGGAACTGGAACATGACTGGGTTCAAATTCACCACCACCGCCCTCCCCCTTTTTTTCGCTAGTTGCCTACCTTGTTGCCCCACAATGGAATCTACATGGCAAATACATGTTACTTCTCGTCCATGAAAACCTGACTGTGAATTAAGAAAAAAGTGATCTTATGAATAAAGATTGACTGTATGAAGGAGTAAATTCTCTCAAAAATTCACATGGTAAACCTGTGGAAATTAGCAGGGACCTTATGCAGTTAGGTCGGCAACGCCAAGGTGGAGGTAGATAAAAAAATGAATTTATATTTTCAGCTAGAATTTTGCAAATGACAAGATGTGTTCACCGTCTTTTTTATCAAATGCGCCATCCCTTAACTTCAGTATAGCGTATGTGGGCAGCGCTGAGTTCCAAATGGAAACTTACATAATTTACCCACAGGGTTTCCATTTTTTGACCACCTGACTTGGTGATTGGTGATTTCGCCTTATGGTTTTGCATGGGACAGCTAAAGAAATGTACAAAGTTTCAAAACGCATGTGCTGAGCTATTATTCTGCCCAGTAGATTTTTCATTTTGCCACGTCTTCATTGCCTTTGCCGTTGTGGTTTGCTTAGGTCTCTAATATCAGCACACGCAAGGGTATGTATCAAAATCAAAATGTAGACTTATAACATGTTTCACTACCAGTAAAAATTATGTACTTAGCCAAGTTGATTACCTTCAACATCGCTTTTTTCAGCTCACACGGGAAGGTCATCTTGTGCGTGTAAATAGTGGAGTCTTTGATAAACGCCAGCACTCCTCCACAAACAGATGAATCCTGGTAATAAATTTAAATGCCATATATCAGCTAATCATGTCCACCACACTTATTTCAAATTTGTGAGAAAATAGAGGGAGTTAATTAAAGGGTTATTCGTGTTTTCTTAGATCACGACCACGTGTAATGTTTCCTTTTTATTTGCAGCATTTCCACAGAAAAAATACTACACAAGCCGAGTGTCACATTCTAGCTGATCCTTATATTTTTTAACAGAGCTACAACTATTACAAAAAAAATTTTTTGCTGGTATATACCACAAAGGTGAAAAGCGCGCACTGATTGGCTGATTCAGAAGTGATTAGTGAGTGCTATTCATCTCCTAGCAGCCGAAGAGACAAAATAGCGTGTCAACAATCTAATATTTGACAGAAATAAACTGATTTTTTTTGTTCCAGTGTGATGTACAGTAAAATAATTATTTATCTCAGCGTCGGTGAAAGTGGTGGATATTTACCGAGCGGCGAAGCAGCTCGGTTAATATCCACCACTGTTCACCTCCACTTTGGTGAATAATTGTAAATTATTCTGAAGAAAGTATGATATCTGTGTTCAAGGCCAAACAACCAACACTATAAATCAATAGTTATCTTAGCTCTCATCCACTAAAAAAAGGGAAGGGGGAAAGAGGAGGTAATTATTTAAATGGGGGGGAGAGAATGATTTTAACTTCTGAGTGCTTATTTGTGACGAGCAGGTTAGTCAAGGATTTCCAAAATGTCAAAAAAATATTATAATTGACATTAATTAAAAGTAAGAGAAAGTTTTACAACTTTTAAACCATCACTGTTATCGATAAATCCCAAAATCCTTTAGTGCATGTGTGAGAGTGATTTCTTAAACATGTAATTAAGTATGTACCGACTGTTGAAGGAATAGGTCCCAGACTCTGTGTGCTCCACCACACATCACTCTCCACAAGAGCTCATTGTGCTGTACACTCCATAATACAAAATATGCCTGTGTGGTGAGATACAACAAAATCATATAAGAATTGAAAGCATTTTGATTTGGTATCCCGCTTGAGCAAATAAAATGTGTGGCAAAAAAAACACTTGTGTCTTACAGCATGGAAGCCTGCAATGAGAAGATCTCCATTGTCCATGAATAGCAGTCGCTCCACCCAGTCGAGGCCTTTGTAGACCTAAAGAGTAGGTTAGCATCAATTTTTTTGTAATGAAATAAATTCCATTTGACTAGCAGATAGAAGTCAAGCCAAAGACATGATCCTTGGAAGCCATTGCCAACCAGCTAGCATCTGGGAGGCAATGGCTTCCAATTTGGTTAAAGCCTGAATGTCTTCAGGCTTTTTTCCTGTAATTGCTTAAATTTCTCTCCACTAACAAGGACCATTTCTTTGCTTGCTTAGGTTGTTGATACCAATATACAAATTGGCCAGACTTAACATTGATAAAATAAACTTCTAATGGGTAAACCTACATGAACTCAAACTAAATTCCATTTACTTTAACTTTCATCAAATATTTACACTAATTTTACCTGACTGTGAATACATAAAAATCATATATGTGAACTGTGGATCATGCAATGAATATGAGAGCAATCTTTGCTCTCATATCTATGTGAACTGCAATCTATGTGAACTGCGGATCATGCAATGAATATAAGAGCAATCTTTGCAGTAATGAAAACTATTGAACACCAAGCAGTAGTGAATTTAAAGGATTAGAAGACCTGTACTGTGGTCAAATCAAAGCCTCAATTGAAATGGCATGATACTAGATTAAGAATGACAAAGAAAAAGATAGAGAATGACAATTCTTGCTAATAAAGACAATAAAGACAATACATTGCAAAAAACAGTCTGTCCAGGTCAAAGTTAAAAGTCAAATCAGTGTCAAGGGGAAGGTGAGGTAAAAGGTTTTTAAGTCACTGTTAAGTAAGTCATCTGAAAATATCACCATGCTCATAGAACAATGTGCTATCTCTGTCACTACCAAGATCTAAATTCTCTGCAGTGTCTGTGATGCATTTCTAATAATTCTATCCCTGAGAATCTGGCATTGAATCAAAAGCAGCCCATTGTTGATTGTTTTCTTTGTTCTTCTTACCTTCCTGCTTTAAGATGTGCTGATAATATATAGAGAAACTCATTGTTGGTCATTACCACTAACCTACCACAGTTCCTTAACATCTATTGACCCTTTAACTCCCTCAGATGATTAAAATGTACCTTCTTCCAAAAATATCCATACATTATCCAGCAAACAGGTAAAGAGAATACTCTAACTTATCAGGTAGAAGTTGTTATCCTGATCTAACACCAAATTCTTGAAACAAATTTACAAGGAATGTGTAGCAACTAGAGAGGAGAATTAGCTATAAGATATTGAAATATAAATCATAAATACCTTTTTGGTATCTATAACCTCCAGAGTATTGTTTTGTATCCTAAGCTGCCTGTACACTCCGTCTCTTCCAGCAGAGTACATTGTGTTATTGTAAAGGCACAAGTGACTTACTCCAGCTTTACCATGAAGCAGAGGAAGGGAATGTACTGGGCCAATACACTGAAAGATTCAAATATTGATATATTCAAACAACTTTGTTCAGTATAAAGTGAAGAGTTCCATTTCTCTGTTTTATTTTTATCAGAATTTATAAGAGTACTCTTTACTTAAACCATTGCACTCAAAAAACACAAACAAACAAATAAACAAAAACTGAACTCTATGTCTCCTGACTGATAACCATAACTTTTGTCGAAGGCTGTACAACTGGTTTCTGGATTCTCTCCTCTTTCCACCTCCCTGGAGTGCCCAGGAGGGTAAGAAGAGGAGAGACTGTGGACACAAGGTTTTAGTAGCTGTTTTTTAGTTCATAGGAAAGAGTTCTTTTCTTTTAACCAGATTTGGTACAAGTACTCTTAACTTATACCATTGTACTTAAAAACTTAAGTTAACAAACAAACAAACAAAAACTAAACTTCTGGTCTCCTTACTGATAACCACACATTTTGTTGTAGGCTGTCCAGGTGGTTCCCAGGATTTCCTTTCATCCCACCAACCTGGGGTACCCAGGAGGGTAAGAAGAGGAGAGACACTGGAAACAAGGTTTTTTAAAGCTGTTACCAGG